CCCAGCAGGGATCAGTGCTGCAGACCCAATCCCAGCAGGGATCAGTGCTGCAGATCCAGTCTCAGCAGGGATCAGTGCTGCAGACCCAATCCCAGCAGGGATCAATGCTGCAGACCCAATCCCAGCAGGGATCAATGCTGCAGACCCAATCCCAGCAGGGATCAATGCTGCAGACCCAACCCCAGCAGGGATCAATGCTGCAGACCCAACTCCAGCACAGCAATGCTGCAGACCCAACCCCAGCAGGGATCAGCACTGCAGACCCAGYCCCWRCAGGGATCAGTGCTGGAACCCCAGTAACTCCCATATAGCACTTGTAGCTGGGGCTGCACGGTGTGTGTTAACACAGCCAGACCATTTCTGTGAGTGTCCAGCGAGTGTCCCCAGCTCCCCACTGCTCCACTGCAGGATTCGTGGGCAGGTCTCTTGTAAATCCCGGGGCATGGAAACCCCACACCAGATAATCAGATGTGCAGATGAGGTCGGGGATTGCAAAGGATGGGGTGGCACCAAGGGGCACTCACCGTCCACGCAGGAGGGAGCTGCCCGTGTTGTCCCTGCCACCTGCCCTGGCAAGCAGGAGCATTTCACTGTCTGGGAGCGCTCCTCAATCTTGTTCTTGTTGCAGCACCGGTGAGCTGCGATGACCTCGCAGGTGCCAGGCTCTACGTGCACTGCAGAAGGAAAAAACAGCCACTGTCAGCCCTCAGAGCCTGCAGAGCTGCCCCGTGCCTTGGCAAGAGCCCCAGCCCATCCACCTACTGCCCAGGCAGCACTGCTGGGGTGAGCCTGGCATGGGCACCAGGTTAGCCTGGCATGGCAGCACTGTCCCGGCCTCTGGCATCACCTCCAGGGCCTCCAGTGACCTACAGGGTCTGGGCACAGCTCCTTCCCAGCCCACCTGGCAGGAAAAGCTGTGCTCCTGCTCCACACCTTTCACATCTGAGCTCTCACAGCCCTCACACCTGCCCTACCSTCCAAAATTCATCCCCTCTTGCCATGGCCAAGTCAAGAGCTTTATTGAAACTAATGAGCGCATTAGCTAATTGCAGCTGATAATGAGATGCACTTTGCTACAAGAGGGGATGGTGCATGGTGCAGCTTTTGGGTTCAAGCASAGCACCACCCCTTCTGACCCCAGCCACAATCAATGCCTCCAGTTCACCATCACCCACCCCGCTCTGCCCGGAGGAGGAAGGGTGAGGATGGCATTTCCACCTYGCAGTGGCAGAGAAATGTCACAGCGTTCATCAGCAATCCAGGCTGCTCTGCTGCTCCCCCTCCCAGTGCCATTAAAACCTGAGGAAAATAGAAAACTACTGTGTTGGCTGATCACCTCTGGGATCAGGGTTTAGAGCTGGTCAGCATCACAAATCAGTGCCTTGGCTGGGTAAAGGCCCACATAAGCACAATACARATCAGCCAGAAAGGGCTGAGAGACTTCATTGCCATGACCCCAGAGATCCCTGCAGGTCCTGCTTGATGAGCACTGCAGGAGCAGAGCCATGCATGCACATCCCCTGGGCCATTTCTATTCCCCAGCAAGCGGGAGCCAGGCTGGGTGGAGGACAGGGAAGTTACACYCCTGCAGTGTGGCATCCCAAAATGCACACAGGTGAGCAGACATCAGGGCATTCCTGACTGCTCCACAGCCTTGGCTCAGGACACCTTCAACATCGTGGAGAGCAGGCACGAGCCCCAGGAGCTGCCACCAGGGAAAGGCTTGGACAGAAATGCAAGCAGGACATGCAGGACTATGGAAATGATGAGTTTTGATGTGCTGCTGCAGGACCTGTGAGCACAGCCCACCCTCAGCCCTGGCCCAGCACATCACAAATCAGCTCTGGCAGCTGCTCTGACCCCGCTGCCATTGGCAGCCTCCTCCTGCCCATCCAGGATGTCCAGGGAGTCACAGCTCCTGCCCATCCAGGATGTCCAGTCACTCTTCCACCCTGTGCACCTTACCAGGGGATTTTACACCCTCCAGCCTCAGTGTTCACACCCAGTTATGGTTTTGACTCATTTTCAGCAAAGCTTCATTAGCAGAGCTCTTCCCGGGAGAGGTACCCAGGTGACTCCTCCATTCCTGCACTCCCTCACATTCCTGCTCTTTGGCTGCTCACTTTCAGTAATTTTAAAAGGTTCAGCCAAGGGAGAGCCAGGCAGAACTGAGAAATCAGTCATTATAGCCATGCAATAGGAGTTTGCTAACATGTCAAAGCCCTTCTAATTTGCTCAGAAAGGTGCAGTTCAGAGATAAAGAGAAATTTGCCTCTCATCTGCCCTACAGCAGCAGGCTGATTGTGGGGCCCTGTGGGGCTGGACCCGCCACCCCAGAGTCTGTCCAGGGAGAAGAACTGCCTCTGTGGGGCGGGTACCCCACTGCCCTGGCACTGCCCCACAGCCCCTGGCACAACCCCACAGCCCCTGGCACTGCCCCACAGCCCCTGGCACAACCCCACAGCCGTGGCACAGCCCCACTGCCCTGGCACAGCCCCACAACCCCACTGCCCTGGCACAACCCCTGGCACAACCCCACAACCCCACTGCCCTGGCACAGCCCCACAGCCCTGGCACAGCCCCACAGCCCCACAGCCCCACAGCCCCTGGCACAGCCCCACAGCCCCACAGCCCCTGGCACAGCCCCTGGCACAACCCCACAGCTCCTGGCACAGCCCCACAGCCCTGGCACAGCCCCACAGCCCTGGCACAGCCCTGGCACAGCTCCTGGCACAGCCCCACAGCCCTGGCACAGCCCCACAGCCTCTGGCACAGCCCCACAGCTCCTGGCACAACCCCACAGCCTCTAGCAGGACTGCACAACCCCGCTGCCCTGGCACAACCCCACAGCCCCTCAGCAAACCCTCAGTCTCTCAGCAAAGGCCGTGCTGGTGGCAAAGCTGAAGGAGCAGCACGCAGCTCCAGGACCCATCCCACTCTCAGGCCATGAAATCCTTGCATTTACGTGAAAGTGTTAGAACTGCACAATCACAGAATGGTTTAAACACCATCTCATTTCACCCCCTGCCATGAGCAGGGACATCTTCCACTAGACCAGGTTGCTATAAGCCCCATCTAAACTGGCCTTGAACACCTCCAGGAGAAGGGGATTTGATGCAGGAGTTTGGGCATTGCCTGGCATTTACATGTATCCAACTTCTCTTCTGTAGCTCTCCACCAGCAGAGAAGTATTTTACACTGAACATGTGGAGCTGTGCCCACGCCTCCCGAGACACTCAAAATGTGTCATTTCAGGTTAYGCCATAATAAACCCATGTTCTGCTGCTCATTTAAAGGTCGCCCAGAGTAAGACAGCATTTTTATTTTATTTTTCCATGCAGGATTCAAAAGCCTGGTGCTCCTAAGATTCTTTATGATTCCTCAAGATAAGGCGTTTCCTTGTAAAAAGGGTTCCAGTGGGGAAATACCAGTCAAATAGGAGGGAGAGGCATGCCAGAAGCTCTGGAACTTATCCCAGGCTCTCTGGAGGTTTCCTGCTGTCAGTGTTAAACACACCATCCATCTGATCTCCATTTTGTTCCAAGTTTCCTGCTGCTCAGCAAAAGGAGAAGCAGCTGCAGGGGGTGGGACAACATGAGCTTTAACGTCCCTTCCTATTCTATTCTATTCTATTCTATTCTATTCTATTCTATTCTATTCTATTCTATTCTATTCTATTCTATTCTATTCTATTCTATTCTATTCTATTCTATTCTATTCTATTCTATTCTATTCTATTCTATTCTATTCTATTCTATTCTATTCTATTCCATTTCATTCTCTGGTTCTTCTGGGCACTGATATTCTGTCACAGAGCTCTGGGTGTCCCAAGGAGGGCAGAGCAGCAGAGAGAGGCAGAAGGAGGGAGCAGAGGAGCCCGGGGGGATCTGCTCAAGGGGGGCAGGGCCATTTTCCACTAGACCGAGGTGATCAGAGCCCTGTCCAAGCTGGCCCKGAGCACTGCAGGGATGAGTAGCCTGAGTCAGGAGAGGAGAAGCAGGTAGCTGCTGACTGACTGGGTGAGGGAGGCACTCTGCAAGATGCGTTTTGGTTTTAAGCAACGCGGGTGGGGATTACAGGATTAGAACTACTTTAACTGTCAGGCAAAAATGACAGAAATAGGACAGGGTTAGGTACGGGGTCAATCAAGAGCACGAACGGTTTCAAATTAACCCTTAAATGCCCGTTCCAAGCAGAGGCWCCAGAAGCAGCCAGCAGCTGCCCCAGGATCAAGTGTTTGCCTGTGCTGCACAGCTCAGCCAGTAACTCCAGTAACACCAGTACTGCCAGCAACACCAGCACCCACCAATCCTCCCTGCGTGCTCCAAGGAGCCCTCAGCCCTGGACCACAGAGTCGCTCCCACTGCACCAGCAGGATGGGCACAAAGGGCTGAGCACAACTGCTCAGATGCTTCTCTTCTCCAGACACAAAAYTCAACCTTGGGTTCACATAACCCCTCCAAAAAACCCATGGCACAAAGCAGCATTCCAATGCACACAGACAGAAATCCAAATCCAGAGCTGGGGATAACTGATGRATGTCTTGGAGCCACGGTGATGATTTGCAGCAAGACTTCCAGTTCTACATCACTTTGTACTTATTCCATCTTTCTAGATGATTTTTGCAGCCAGGGGGAGGAAATTTTTTTGTTTTGAATGAAAGCTTTAAGTGGAGAGTGTCCCCCACATAACAAGTGAGGTTTGTGACACTCATTGCAACTCGGATGGAACCATTTACTTTCACTGCTTACAGAGAAAGAATTACCTCAACAATAATCCAAACACATAGATGTATCAGATGTTTATACAGATCACTATATGTGTCTCAGATTTTGCTACAGACATGAAGAAAGTCCCTCTCTAACCCCTCAGACCAGCCAGACTCACCAAGCCACTGGTTTTAAATGCCCTATAATGAGTATTCCCAACTTCCAGCTGAAGGAGCAGCTTTATGGCCCTGTGGCTGTACGTTCCTACCTGTCTGGAAGGAGCAGTCCCGGGAGTTTCCTGCCCACATGGACACTCCCAATGCCAATCCCACGGCTGGCACTGTGTTGGTGTCTCTTGGTGTCTGTGGGATGCTGCTCCACACCTTTGGCATGGCTGCTGCCCAGACCCCAGGCAGGGACACACACTGAGCTCCTCGAGGCTGTTAGCAGTGTGTCCCCAGAGAGATGCCTGCCTGCTCCTGGTGTGCACCACAGCCTCAAACTACTGCTCCCACGGAGAAACATGAGACACAACCTCACCAAGCACCTCCCCACGTAACCCCTGCCTCAGGCATCCCTTGCAGAGCCCAAGGTACCACCAGCATCACCAGGTGATGGCACAAGCATGTGACACCTGCAGCCAGGATGTCACTGCCCTACCTGAATGGCTTCTGTGGTGATGTGTGGAGGCCAGGGTCAGTCGTCCCCACAGCGTGGTCAGGCACAGGCTGAGCACCAAAATCCATTTGCTCAGGCTCTGTGTATCTCTCTCACTCATTCTACCAAAAAGAAGAAGAGATATGTGCAGGATGAGGGACTGAGGGTGCTGGGAGGTGCAGATCCATTCACCAGTGCTCCTGCATGCGATGCTGTGAGTGGGGATTGGGCTGTGGGGACACAGCCCTGGGACCCAAAAGATTCACCCACCACCCTCAGATGGACTGGGACTGCAGCAGCACAGCATTGCAGCAGCACAGACAGAAACTGCAGCAGGACAGTTGAGTGGTAGTTACCTTTGACTGGGGATCCACCCTCACACGTGTGCAGGGATCTGCAAGGCTCAGGAGGGTCAGGGCTCTGCAAGGAGCAGACATCAGCGCATCTGAAAGCAGACAGAAGGACATGGGCAGGGATAGCTGCTGTCACTGTGAGCCACCACGTCCCTGGGAGTGGCTGGGAGCAGAGCACCTCTAATGAAGAGCCAGGACACAAAATGCTGATATTTTAAATCAAAACAAAGCTATTTGAAGTGGTAAAAAGGGCATTTCTTATTTTGAAGCATTTTAAAATGAATTGTCCTGTTTTAAACTGACACTTCAAAATGAAAAATAGTTCATTCCCTAGTGGTGATTTAAGGTGATATTTTGTGCTTTGATTCTCCCATCTGGAAAACAAAAATGAGACAATGCCATCAAAAGTGTTGACATTTGCCCAGAAAAAATGAAAGGCATCTTGACAAATTCACCTGGTTTATATTTCAAAAGAGCTTAGAGGTCAGGCAGTACTCCTATTWACACTGTGGGATGGTCAGCTTGGCCAGGAGCAGCTGAAGAGTGGCTTGCAGCATCCCACTCCTGTCCTGACTCCATCACTGTCGACTGGGTGAGGACAGACTGACCCTGCTCCAGCCCCTCCACTGCCAGAAAGAACCCAAATGGCTGAGTGGGCAAGAAAACCACTGCACCTCCGGGTGATGTGCTGGGACTGCGAGACGTCCTCTTGTAAATCCATATTTGGGTGATCTCCAGTGCTCTGGCAGAATCTGCTCTGYGTGATGCTCCTCAGAGGGGATCATACAACAGCCCATGTGTAAATATTGMTGTCAGCTTAAAGCATGCACTGTTTGCTCAATGACAAAGCAAACAGCTCTCTCAGAGCTGCTCATCCCCAATCCAGAGGTGGTGCCTGTGCAGCACTGCACCCAGCGGGGAGAGGGGCACATGTCCCCTCAATGTCACCCCTCCCTGGTCACCCCGCACTGTCACCTCTCACTGGTCACCCCTCACTGGTCACCCTGCACTGTCACCCCTCACTGTCACCCCTCACTGGTCACCTCTCACTGGTCACCCTTCACTGTCACCCCTCAATGTCACTCCTCACTGGTCACTCCTCACTGGTCACTCCTCACTGGTCACCCATCACTGTCACCCCTCACTGTCACCCCAGCCCCGCTGCACACAGAGGAGCTGTCTCTGCTGCAGGCACACTCAGAGTCCTGCCCGGGGCAGGATATCAGCCCTGATGGGAGCACTGCAGACACAATGCTATTGCAATTCTTGCCACAGAGTTCCCAGGGCCAAAGAACCCCTCATGTGCCTTCCAGAGTGACCAGGTGCCCGTCAGGACACTCTGCTTTCCTGGCTGCTGCTCCAGCTCTGGCTCCCACCGCATGCAGTGAGTRCAGCCAGTCCCAGCAGCAGCCCTGGCCCCACGGCACACGCCAGAGCCCTTTGCAAGGAGCCCATCCCCAGCTCCTACAGGGTCCAAGGGACCCTACAGACCATCTGAGGTCTCCAGCAAACATCCCTAAACCTCTCAGCTCGACCAAAAACGAGGAACCTCAGTGGATGCTCTGCCCCACAGAGGACAGCGACACTGTCCCAAATACACAAAGCATATTTAGCTCAGAAAGGCTGAGCTGCTTGCTATAGACAAAGGAGCATAAATAAATCACAGGGTTATCAATAATGCAACCCCCACTGTCCATGCCACACTCAGAAGGGAAAGTACCAAACTGAGTGGAAGGAGCTGCGCTGGTGGAYGGGAGAGCACGAGGATGAGGAGCATCCCATGGCAGAGGCACTCAGGGCTCCCACTCATGCCCAAAAAAACTCCCATCAGAAAACACAGCTCCACAGAAATTGCTATTTTGACAGTTACCAACCTCCAGTATTGTGAGACTACAACTACAAATGTTTGGTCTGATTCGAGATTTTTCAGCCTGGAATGTCAGTTTGAAATAAAGAGTGGTGTTCTGGCATGTCAAAACACTTAATTTTGATGGAAAATCTCAGTATTCTCCATTCTGTCATGCGCTGTTTGGAATTTTGTGGGATTTTTCATTAACATTTTTTAGCTGCTTTCATCTTTTGGGTCTAGCTGGAGCCAGAACTAACTGTCACGTGCCCACATCTCTCAGACTATCCACCATTGTGTTAAGAGATGATGGTTCCTCCGTGTGGGCCCATGTCCCTCCCTGCAGGCACACRTGAGCACGAGCATCATCCACATGGGAGCTTCTTCAGGGCTCTGTGGCACAGACACACAACAAGAAATGCTGCCCGCTGCCTTCCCAGACAAAACCCACTCTGTCTGTCACAGGAGCTATCGACCTTTTCCTCCTCCTTCATTAAACCACACGTGGAACTGTGACTCTCCAGCTGGGACTGCTCCATCCTCAGTTTGCTGGAGCACAGCCCAGTGCCCCACAGTGCTAATGAGGGATTCTGTCATGCCAAATTAAGCTCCAAATCCTGCCAGTCTGAAGCAATGTTTGCAAAGGTCCATGTGAGCTGGATAATTAGCAGAATTCCACCCAAAAAGAAGAAAGAGAGGCTGGCACACATTGTCTGGTTTCTGTGCTGAGTGTAAYGAACCCTCCTTGCTGCAGCCCCAACACTGTCAACCTCTATGCACCACTCATCTTACAATCCTGCCACTTTTCTGAGACCTATTTCCATTCTCCTGCTGCCTCAGCATTTCTTGGGACTTGGGCACCTTTGTTTGATGCTTTGGGCCAACAGAGCACAATCTGGGGGTTGGCAGGGATGGGCAGCCCCGTACCCTGGCCACAGAGTAAGGAGAAAACCTGGCCAGAGCCCATGGGCACAGAAACCCTCCCACAATGCTGGGGGAGTTATATTACACCAATATTGCTGGGGAGCAATTTGATTTTGGTATTTCCCTGGAGCAAAAATTCTGATTGTTTTAGCGCATGTCCCACGCCTGGCACATGGGGATAGGCTGTGTACCCAGCCCAGGACCACCCCTACATCCCTGCCATCCCTGAAAATCCCCAGGGCAGCAGTGGTGAGCTGATCCCTTCTGATACAAGAGGAAGGTTGGACCCCAGAACACTGCCTGGTGCTGCTGAGGGAAGGGCTCGTTCCTTTGCTGCCCAACCACAGCTCTTGGGCTGCACAACAGCCATTGCAGAGGCTGGAGAGGCTGCTGGTCTCCAGAGAAGCTGATGCCTCCTTGGAAGATCCTGACAAGCAAGGAAACAGCTCCAGAGTCACCCAGGAAGGTGTGGCACAGGCTCTGSTATGGTTCAGTCTTCAGCAGCCAAAAAGAGGACAAAACAGCAGGGCAGACTGGGCAGAGGGCATCTCCTATCTGCCTCATCTCCCGGAGAAACAGCTCAACAGAGGATTCTCCACTCTGGTCAGGTGAGGAAATGCTCAGACACTCACACAGGTTGTGAGGTTTGGGCCCAGGACCCCCAGGACCCTCTGTTTGTKCCCATCCTGGGCACAGGCTGCCATGCTGAGGGTCCTTGGGGAGGCTGTCAGCGAGATTCTGCCACGCTCTGAGCACAGACTCACGATGGCAGCAGCCTTGGCTCCATCAGCGGCAGCCCCAGCAGCCTGGCTCAATTCCTGCTCCCTCTGCAGCACTGAAGATGCTCCACTCGAGGCAAAGCTGGGAAGTTGGAGCTCCTGTGGCCCCTTGGAACTGCGCTCATGGCACCTTCAAGCAGAATCTCCCACTCCCTCTTAGGCTGCATTGCTCCTCCCCAAAGGGAAACCCCAGCCCAGGGGAGCCTGGCCCAGCCCCAAAGCTCCAGGTTGAGCCAAGTCTTCATTTGAACTCCTAATCAAGGCACAGCTGCAGTGGTCCAGCCCCATAAATGTGCTCGTGAGGGCAGCATGAAACGTGTGCCCCTGATCAGGCGAAGAGGTGGCCYGGGAGCACAGGGAAATGCAGACGACTCCTTTCCCCAAGCGTGCTCCTTCATCCTCTTCTCTATAATGTTTTATTTCCAGTTTCTTGCTCATTCTTCCAGCATCTGCAGCATTTCCTTCCCAGCCAAGATGAGCAGGACAATTTTCAATTCCACCCAAGCACGGGCCTGTTCCTGCTCACTCACACAGCTGATCCCACCTTCCCATTGCCACCAGTATTCTGAAGGTCAGCTCTGCTAATAGTTCAAACCTCAGCCTCATCCAGAGCAGGATTGTTTCCCCGGGAGGTACATCTCACCTGTGCAGGCTCCTTGCTGGGGTGCAGGTGTCCCAGCACAGATGAGCTCTCCAGGTAAAGGGCACCCACACACTGAACAACCCCCCAGACCTTACACTGCAGCAAAAGGGATGGCTAATGAATAGGAGGAGGAGACTCCTGCTTCCTGCCTGGCACCACRGCATGGACAAACTCACAGCTCCAGAATGGGACTGGGTACAGCTCACACTCTCCTTGGGCCACTGAGCCTCTGCATGTGGCTGATGGGGACATCTGACCCACGCTCCTCCTGTGCCCATCGAGCAGCCCCATGAGGAAGCTGGCCCTCAGTGCCACTGCCCTACTCCAGCCTGGTAGTGGCCAGAAGAAAACCCATCCTGGCTGGAGGAGTTACAGCAGAGACGGAGGAGGGAGAGGAAGATGAAAGCCCCCATCTCATCCTGCTCGAGGCTTTGGCCACAGAGACAGCATGCACTGAAGGCAGCAGCAGTTGGGATCTGTGGCCCTTTCCAGGGTGAAGGAGCATCCTTGGCTGCAGAATCTGGGGTCTCTCCAGCGGTGCTTCGCCTCTGAGAAAGGCAAGCAGCGTTGCACTGCTGTCAAAACCCTTTGATCGGGGGCAAACAGCACCGATGGCGAGCCCACCCCCGGAGCCGGTGGCCGGACCGGGCTCCACAGGGTCCCAATCCCCTTTAGGGGCACAAATCCCCTTTCAGGGCACAGCCCCAGCCGCGGGGCAGGCAGGGACCGGGGGCGCCGCTGCTGTCGGAGACACCGCTACCGGGGCGCAGGGCAGAACCGGCCCCCAGAAACTCCCTGCAGGGACCCTCCCGAGCCCGAGTCCCGCACCGAGGGGTCCCCGAGAGGCGACCGGGACAGCGGGGAGCAGGCGGCGCCGTGAGGCTCCGGGCGGAGCGGGGAGCGCTGGACCCGCACGGAGCCCTGGACCGATATCCCGATGCTGCCGGTGCCCGCTGGCACCCCGATCCCGGTGTCCCCGCGACCCCGCTCCCCTGCCCTGCCGGGCTCAGCATCCCTTCGGAGCGGCCCCGGGCCCGACAGATCCAAGCGATCGGACTCGCCCGGGGGGCCCGTCGCGTCCCCCCACCCCCGAACCCCCCCAAACTTTTCGCTCGTACCTGACGGTGGCCTCGGTGCGAGCGGGGGCCGACGCTGCCCATGGCCGGGAGCCGCTCGCTCCGCTCCTCCGGGTCARCGCCGCCTCCGCCGGGGGCCGCGGGCATCGCCGGGCGGCAGCGAGGGCTGGGCGGGGGCGGCGGGCGCGGAGCCGAGCGGAGCCCGGCGGGCCCGGTACCGGGGAAAGGGCGCAGCGCCGCCTGCTGCTGCCGCTGCCCGGCACCGGCACCGGGATCCTGGGCTGGCACTGGCACCGGCACCGGCACCGGGATCCCGGGCTGGCACTGGCACCGGCACTGGTACCGCGATCCCGGGCTGGCACCGACACCGACACCGCGATCCCGGATTGGTACCGGCACCCGCACCGCGATCCCGGGCTGGCACCGACACCGGCACCGGCCCCGGCTGCGCACCGAGCCATCCCCGCCCGCCAGGGCGCTGCCCCGCCCCGGTCAGTCCCGCTGCCCGTCAAGGCGGCCGGGGAGGAGGAACGGGCAGAGAGAATTTACCGGAAAAATTATTTACACACATACATTCCCCCGCCCCCGAAAGAAAAAAAAAGAAAAAAAAAAAGGGATGATAACCCCACGAGCTCTGAGGGATGTGGAATGGTGTGGGGATGGACAGACAGCTGGACAGACAGACAGACTGATTGCTGGCCCGGGCATTCTCCTCCTCAAAGCATGAGCCTGGCCAGAGCTAATTTACCCAAAAACTAATTTCCCCCACCAAAAACGGTGTGATGGCCCTGCAAGCATGGAGAGGTGCTGAATGGTGTGGGGATGGACAGTCAGATAGATGGACCCACTCCTGCAGCCCTCTTCTCAAAACTCACCAAACTCACTCTGGTGTCAACTCACCAAAGCTCAGCCTTYCTGGAACTGAGAACTGCTGAAATAGCATCACCAGCCTGGACCCAGCGCTGCAGGAGACTCTCCCTGACACAGGGGATTCCAAAASCTGGGACCACAACACCAGCCCGGGTCAATTCTTTCCCCAGAGCAGCTCCAGGCTGGTCCAGAAACCCCCTCCCGGTGTCTCCAGGACACGGCTTCCATGGTTTCTCTCACAACAGGCAGTGACAGGCTTTAAAACACAAACAGCAAGAGCAAAGGTTGAATTTTCACAATTGCTGCCAGAAATTAAACCTGCAGCCWCAGCACTGCTGAGATGAGAGGCTGAAGTTTCATGCACTCATTTTCTTTGCTTTTCTCAAACCCATCACATCGACACACATCGATGAAAGCCTTTGTTTCCTGAAGACCGCTCACCACTTACTCCTGGACCTTCCACCCCATCTCTCAGCTGGAAGCATGGAATGATTTCCAAGATCAAGCTGAGTTACAGATCAATGGCAGCTGTTCAGACAAAAATCACACACGGGCAGTTTGCAAATTTCCCAACCATTTGCTTTCCATGGGATCCTCAAAGCCTTTGTCCATCCGCACCTCTCCCTTCCCAGGAAACCCACCCTTGGAAAGGGCACTGCTGGGAGTCCCATGTGCCATTAGGGAGCCCTGGCAGCCTCCTCAGTCAGCCAGGCACATGCCCCGAGGTGACCCACCAGTTCAGAGTCCCATGTGCCATTAGGGAGCCCTGGAGCCTCCTCAGTCAGCCAGGCACATGCCCCGAGGTGACCCACCAGTTCAGAGTCCCATGTGCCATTTAGGGGGCTCTGGAGCCTCCTCAGTCAGCCAGGCACACACCCCGAGGTCACCCACCAGTTCAGAGTCCCATGTGCCCTGTTGGGAGCCCTGGAGCCTCCTCAGTCAGCCAGGAAGATGCCCCGAGGTGACCCACCAGTTCAGAGTCCCATGTGCCATTTAGGGAACCCTGGCAGCCTCCTCAGTCAGCCAGGCACACACCCCGAGGTCACCCACCAGTTCCTGGGGGACCCACAACACTGRCCTCCTCCCTAGGGGAAGGGTCACTCCAAAATTCACGCAGGGATCCAGGGGAGAGTACCTTGCCCATGACAAGAATAGGWTACTTTGCTATTTTGTCCAAGGAAACTGAGCTCTTTTTCCCACTTTATAGAGTCAAAATTGCTGTATGTTAAGTTCCAATTTGTTAGACTTGGTTGCTCRAAAGAAAAAGCTCTACAAGAATTACGCAAACTCCGGTAACAAGATATTAAGGAAATACAAGCATCTCATTCTTCACATCAGAGGGTTTTAATAATAATGACAAAAATCAATGTGAAACTGAATTAAATCTGCTGTTTATATTCATCAGATAATTTGATCRAGAGCCTGCCAGTTCAGGTCTCTAGTGCTGTGATAAGGAAATAAAAACATACTACTTTCAGATCACAAAGTATTAGTGCAATGATCAAGAGCAAATGAAATCAAAGCTATTTTTCACACCAGCCAAATTCCAATTAAATTAGGCCAGATTATTTAATAAGGAAGCCTACAGAACTCCAGCTCTTTATTGRTGTAATGATACAGAAATACAAACTTGTTACTTTCCAGATCACAACATTTAAATGCAGGGAAAAAATTAAGACTTCAGTAAAACKGGTTTAATTTAAATTCTGCTGGAAGTAAACAGAGCAATTCCTCCTCATCATCCTGACTTCCTATTGAGTGTCCAGCAGCAGCCTTCAGCCTTGCTCTCTCCCCTGGCTAAGACTCCTCCAGGAGCCCAGGACTTCACTGGATGGGCAGGCCCAGCTTTCTGTTACCCATAACAAGCGAAGTCTGGAAAGGAAAGGAACTGCCTTAGAAAATCTTAGCAACAATTCCTCATGAATCCTGTGTGATAAATCCTGCCCCCATGTAAGAAATCGTTTCCCCTTAGACCAGGTGTTTATCACACRCCCAGAACCGTTCTACACCCTCCAGCTGAGCAACCAGGTTTGTTTATTTTCAGGAAGAAAACTCTTGGATTGGGGCTTGGGGTACAAGACAACAGTTAGGGGGAAATGGTCATGGAAAGGCACATAGACACACCAAAAGACTTCAAATGCTCAGTGCAATCAACTTATCCACACCTGCTAACAGGCAGAAGGTACAAATTATTTTATTAAAGATGGAAAAAGCATAACTCCTGACATTTTATTCCTGGGGAAGATTTATCACACCTTTTTTTCAGTGGATCACTGAATTAAGATTCAAGTTTATTTATCCCCTTCCTCTGAGAAGGCCCTAGCACCTCCAGGCTCTCTCAGCACTGAGCACCCACCTTTGAGGATTTTGTTCCCTTTTCAGAAGATTTTGCTGACAATAGTGAATTTCAGATTCCCTGCCTGCCAAAACGGTGGTCCAGGGATAGGATTTCTGGGAAGCCTGGGCACTGCTGCAAAGGCAGGGAGAAGTCCTGCTCCCTGCATCCTCTGGAATGTGGGTCTGAGCTTCCAAATTGAAAGTAAGTTCTCCAAATGACCTATAAATTCCAGTGAGTGCTATTGTCACACATTTATTTTTCTTCTTCTATTTTACAGGTAATAATAAATGAGACCAGGAGGCTCCTGAAGAGAGCAGAATTGAGAATGAAGATCTCTTGGGAGGTGTGAAAATAGTATGGAAGGTTTTGAAGCAGCAGAGGGGGAAAAGCCAAGTGACCCAAGGAGGTTAATGTGCCCCCTCCCGCCCTCCCCTCTGCAGCAGAGAGGAGCAAGGGTAAAACCCTCTGGGAATCTGCACCAAATCCAGGTCATCTGCTCTGCAGAACACTGATGCACCCACTRCAGAGAGGTCACACACATACCCAGAGCAGCAACACTCCAAAGGCTTCTCTGCACTCCAGCAGGAGCTGACAGGGAATCARGATGTGTGGTTGCAATCAAATTATCCCTTCAAAGAAATAACAATAAATTCTGAACTTCCCAATTACAAGGGGCATGCAAACCTTGGAAACCATTAAGAACTGCTTCCTCTTCTGATGAATKATCCAGTGCATAGAGCTATTTGCTGAGCTTCACTCTATTATGCTAATTATAAATTAATACATTACTCATTACACAGGCTGTACAATCACTAATGCACTGCTGCAAAGAGCCTGTTTTTAAACATCCTCTGCTACTTTTATGATCTAGATGTTTAATTTACTTCTGTTCTGCCTTAAATGCCACCAACAAGTCATCCTTTCACAAAGAAATATCCATCCTACCTCTGTGGCTCAGCAACATAGATGAAGGATGAAACTTAGAAAGGCTTTTTCAATGCTAAACTGCTGCATGAGAAATTAACTAAAATAACATAATTTGAGCCTGATTCCTGTGTTGTTAATTTTTAAATTACTGTTTATCATGGCAGCAGGCTGGAGTGCTTCAGCTGAAGCTGCATCCATGGAAGGTGAGTACCTGACACTCCATGCTCAGGGACGGGCACTTTGGGTGAGGGGAAGCATGAGCACCTCGGGCAGGACTCCCAGAGGGATGGGAAGAGCCAAGGACAGAGTTTCTGGCATCCAAAGTGGCCATTTACTGGCACTGGCCTCCCTTGCACTCTGTCTGACTCAGCCTACAAYGTCTGCATCCCCAGGCCTTGTTCCAGGCAACCCTGTGAAGGGGAACAGCAGCCTCCCAGACAAGGAGAAAACTTCACATGGATCTGGCTGGCAGTATGAATAGGGGGAAAGGGAGTCCTTTTCCCTGGAAAACAGTGGTCAGCACTGCATTGTTTGAGGGAGTGCTCCTGCAGCGTGTTTGYTGCTCAGACCATTCTTTCTGTGCTGTGTGCAGCATAACGGAAATAACAAATTCTGAGCAGGGTCACAGAAGTCAGTCTGGAAACTGCCATTTCCTTCTTTCCRAGGAAAGCATCCTGGTGACTCAGCAGTACAGGGCAGATTGGCAGTCCCACAGCGGGGAGACACATTTGCTGGAGAATCCAGTGATTTTCAGCCTTAATAACAAAATAATATTGCACTCAGAATATCTAAGGCCACCCCATGTATGACCAGCAGCTGGGCAGGGATGCTGTGAGCAGGAAGGCATCAGCAGCTTAGGAGCGGACCTGGGAATGCTGCAGAGGAACTGGAGGGCCTCAGGATAGAAGGGTTGGTTTGGAAGGGACCTTAAACATCACCCATCTCCAAACCCCAMGGAAGGGACCTTCAAGATAACCCAGTTCCACCATTATCCAGTTCCAGATAATCCTGCTACCATGGCAGGAATGCCACCACTAGATCAGGTCCTGAAGGGTACTGAAAGAGCTTAAAATGGTACTGAAGACCTTAAAGTTCCAGATTAGAAGGTGGGAACACAGGTAGCACTGAGTGACTTTTTTTCTGTGATCCTAATAGTCTTGTACAGTTTGAAGATTTCTGGCTGAATGTGGCTATAGCCTGGAGGGCTTCCCAGYGCTGCTTGTGCTGGAAACTTACCGTGCAAAAGCCCTGTGTTGACAGGAAGAAGTGGTTCCTCTGTGACGCTGAGGTACTGGGGCACTCAGATTTTAAGGAACAGCCTCAATTTTCCCTTACAGCAGGCAAGTCCTGTGTTTTTCTCAGCAGCTTTTTTGCTGTCACAGAAGCCCAGAGGCAGGGAGCTGCTCAGGTCAGGCTGTGCAAGCGGTGGTGTTTATGCTGGCGGCTCTTCCCCTCCCAGCCAGGGAGGATGTGTTGTTCTGGATCAGCTAAATCCTCATCCTGCTCACGCGGGAGCGCAGCATCCTGGGTGAAAGGGAGGGAGAGGTTCAGCTTTCAGCTCTCTCACGGTTCCCGCTCCTCCGCAGGCTGCGGGTTATTAATAGCCCGGCATGGCCGTGCGTGGGCTGAGGAGACAGCGGGGAGTGACAARGAGCCCGGAGCGCACGGGAATGGTGTCCTGGAGTACGGGGCTCTGCTGGAGCCTTGGGACGATCCTGTCAGGAAACCCACCTGTCGGCAAAACTCGTGGGCAGGGCGAGCCTGTCCCCCGCAGCCCCATCTCCAGCCAGGAAAAGACTCCCAGAGAATTTTCTGCGCCGCGCTGGTCCCTGGGGCTCCCGGGAGGGAGGGGGTCACTGGCCGGGGCTCGCTTTCCCCGGCTGCGGGATAGCGGTGGCGATGCGCGGATGCGCTGCGATGCTGATGTACCGCGTCTGTGCCCTCCCCGCACCGCACCGCCCCGCACCGCACCGCACCGCCCCGCACCGCACCGCACCGCCCCGCACCGTATCGCACCGCCCCGCACCGTATCGCACCGTATCGCACCGCACCGCACCGCCCCGCACCGCCCCGCACCGCACCGCCTCGCACCGCCCCGCACCGCACCGCCCCGCACCGCACCGCACCGCACCGTATCGCACCGCACCGCACCGTATCGCACCGCACCGTATCACACCGCCCCGCACCGCACCGCACCGCACCGCACCGCACCGCACCGCACCGCACCGTATCGCACCGCACCGCACCGCACCGCCTCGCACCGCACCGCACCGCACCGCATCGCACCGCACCGTCCCGCACCGCCCCGCACCGTATCGCACCGTATCGCACCGCACCGCACCGCCCCGCACCGCCCCGCACCGCACCGTATCGCACCGCCCCGCACCGCACCGCACCGCACCGCCCCGCACCGCACCGCACCGCACCGCACCGCGCCTGTGCTCCCCCGCACCGCACCGCACCGCACCGCACCGTATCGCATCGCACCGTATCGCACCGCGGCGGGCGGGAGGGAGGCGGGGCGGGGCGCCGGGCTCAGCTCGGCTCGGCTCGGTTCGGCCCCGCCTGGCTCGCTTTGGCTCTGCTCGGCCGGGCTCGGGATGCTGCTGCGGGTGCGCGCTGCCGTGGCGCAGTTGGCGGCGGGGCTCGGTGCGGGGACGGGAGCGCAGCACCCAGCGGAGCCCCGGAGCGGCGGGGCCGGGAGCGGGAGCGGGGCCGGCCGGGGATCGCCGCCGCCTGCCGCCTTCTGCCGGCCGGCCTTCCTGCAGCTGACCCCCGAGGAGCTGCGCCGCGCCGATGACCACACGGGAAGGGCGGTGCAGAGCCCCCGGGACGGGCGCCGCCGCCTGCCCTGGAGCACGGGATACGCAGAGTGAGCGGGGTCCGAGCGGGGTTCGCAGCCTGGGGGGGGGCAGGACGGGACCGCTCGGCACTTGCGGGGACCTTGCGGATGAAAGTGGGTCGCGGCGGGCGGTGAGCTGCGTCTGTCCTTTTTCCAGCAGCAGCGGCTGGAGCGGGCGCTGTGGATGCCCGCTATGGGGGAGCATCAGCGAGGGGCTCTGCTCTCAGCGATCCCCGCGGGGTTTAGACTCCTCTGTCCTTTTTGTTTYCTGCGCTTTCAGCACCACACCCACTGTCACCGGCAGGGAGCGGAGGGCGAAGGAGCTGCGGCGGCTCTGACAGAGCTCGGGGGAAGCAGGGAGCTGGGGCTTTTTTGGGAGTGGGRCTGCTTGCGACTTCCCCTTCAAGGACCTGGTTGGGTTCTTCTTTCACTCGCTGCGAGTTTCACCCCTAACTGAAACCGGGCGGGAAGGTCAGGCTTTGAAGGCTTTTGCTGCTCAGTGCTGCCAGCTCATCCCTGCATCCCGTCCTCAAGCTGATCTTCCCGATATCCGAGAAGGCTTTACGAGATGTCGATTCACTCCTGGAGACAGTGGGATAGGAGTGTCCAGAGTAAAAAAAAATACCCTTTTCGGTATCTCGAGAGCTCTTTCTGCTAAACACTTAAAAAGTCTGTGCCCAAAGAACAATCCCCTTGTAGTGAGTTGATCACAGCTTCTTCCTGTGAGCAGTTTCTGCAAACKAGACCTGAAATCTGCTGTGTCAACATAGGCTGGGAAAAGTTAGTGTAAATCTTTTTGCAAAAGTTCTGCCGGTTTCATCATCATTACCCTCTCCCCTCCTTCCCTGAGGTTCCTGCTCCCCCCGAGAGGTGATGAGATGTGTGAGGCTGTGATTCTGTCTTTGTGTCCCAGCTGGGAGTGGATGTTTGAGGCTGGCGCAGGTTTTTGGGCAATTATTCTGCTTGGGGCAGTGCTGGGGACCTTCAGCAAACCCAATTTATTTCTGATCACCTTCACTTCCCTCGGTGGGTGCGTGGACAACTGGTCCCCCCTGAACTCAGCTGTGGGTGGGAGCCAATGCTGCTGCTGAGCCCAGATCAACCCCCAGAGCTGCTCTGGGACACCCAGGACAGGACAGGAGCACCCGTGAAGAGTGTCCCTGGGGACACGGGGACAGTGGAGGGTTGGGAAAGTGGGGAGGGGGGAGAGGTGCTGTGAGGTGGCCTTTGCTGGAACATGACATAAAAGAAAGAGCTTTTACACCTTTTTTCCTCCTGGCAGGGTGATAAATGCAGGGAAGAGCCAGCACAATGAGGATCAGGCATGCTGTGAAGTGGTGTTTGTGGAACGGAGGCACAGCCCAAGGGCTTGGCTATCGTCCAGGGAAGGCAGCGGGGAGCTGGATGGGGTGAGAGCCCTGGTGATCTGCAGGCAGGGACACAGAAGGGGAGATGGCCAGCAGCGGGGCATGAGATGGAACACACGGCAGTGTGTGCACACCGGGCATTCCCTGGGCTCCTGGCCCTTCTCTCTGCCTGCTCCTCCCGTCCTCCATCCCCGTGGGACTGCACCAGGGCCGAGTGGCCCAGGGGACCAGTGGCCCAGGGGAGCAGTGGCCCAGGGGACCAGTGGCCCAGGGGGAGCAGTGACCCAGGGGAGCAGTGGCCCAGGGGACCAGTGGCCCAGGGGGAGCAGTGGCCCAGGGGACCAGTGGCCCAGGGGAGCAGTGGCCCAGGGGGAGCAGTGACCCAGGGGACCAGTGGCCCAGGGGGAGCAGTGGCCCAGGGGGAGCAGTGGCCCAGGGGAGCAGTGGCCCAGGGGGAGCAGTGGCCCCCGTGCCTCGTGGGCTGCAGAGCTGGCTGCTGTGCTGGTGCTGTGGTGCCTCCCTTTCGGAGGAGCTGGAGCCAGGGGCACGAGGTGTGTGATGCAGGGCTGGGCTCCAGCCAGGGACCAGCTGGGTCCAGACACCCTTGGTCAGCTGCCCATTGCTCCTGCCTGCACTGGGACCTGTGAGACTTGTGTCACTGTCCTCAGCTGCTCTGAATTCCCCATGCCATCTGCTTCCTTGCAGGCTCATTTAACCTTCTCTCTTSTCCCCGCAGGGCAGGAAGGGTTTTTATTTCCACTACTGGGCCCTGTTCGATGGCCATGCGGGCAGCGGTGCTGCTGTCATGGCATCCGAGAGGCTCCACCTGCACATCTGCGAGCAGCTCCGGGACCTGGTGGAGATCCTGCAGGACCCCTCCCCACCTCCCATCTGCCTCCCGCACGATGCAAACACCAACTCTGCAGATCCAAACCGGGTGTCCTTTACAGAGGACCAGGGGGAGGTCCCGAACGATGCTGCGCCACGGTTTCACCTGGAGAAAGCTGTGTCCCATGAGAGCCTGGTGATCGGTGCCATTGAGAACGCCTTTAAGCACATGGTGAGAATCCTCTGCCTGTGGGATCAGATCCTCTGCCTGTGGGATCATCCAGGCCATCCCCTGGGAGCACCTCTTTGCTGTCTGTGTCTCCATCAGCCTGTCCCCACTGGCAAAAGGCAGCTCTGCAGCAAGGAGGGGGCTGCAGGGAGGGCTCCAGGCGTGGTGGTCTCAGAGAGGGCTCTGCAATGTGCTGCATTTGGAGGTTTCAGAATGCAGAGGCTTTGGGCTGCAGGCCTGTGTGGGTGCAGAGGGCTCGATWATGCTTTGTTCCAGGAAGGCCACCTGCTCCCCTCCTGCCTGTCCCAGTGAAGCCACATCCATGGCTCCCACAAGAGCCAAGCTCTACAGCCACCCTTGGCTGTGTGGGGAGGATACCCTGGTGGTCACTGCTCAGGTGCCGTTTGGGCTGCCCACATTCCCTTCCTGCAGCCTCTCTCTGTCTCCCCAGGATGACCAGATTGAGCAGGAGCGGGCATCCCAGCACCTGGCCGGGGGCTGCTGYGCCCTGGCTGCCATCTACCTCATGGGCAAGTTCTACGTGGCCAACGCCGGTGACAGCAGGTACAGCCCCTCAGGCACTCCTCAGCTTCTGCTTGCTGACACCCCAGTGGAATGGAGGGTGCTGGAGGCATGGCTGGGGGTGACCACCCAGATTCATCCCTGTTTAGGGGAGGGTGGAGGTGGCAGAACTGGGCAGAGCCATCCCCTGCCTGCTCCATGCCCTGGGGACAATGCCCTGCTGTGATCCCCATGTTTGCCTGGATAGGGCTGTAGAATTGTCTCCCAAAATTGGAGATGTGCTCTCTTCCTTCCYAACAGCCTCCTCTTTGCTCCTCTGCTGGCTCTGGATCACACCCCAGCCCCTGCTGCTGGCACTGGCCTGGGTTGCAGGTTGGGGACTGAAAATTGCCCTCAGCAAAGCTTTCAAAAATGCACAAGAAGCCATTTTAGGGTATGCCTCATACCAGTGACCTGTTTCAGGAGAAGGACACAAATCCACATGCAGACAAATGCACTGAAAACTTGGAGCCCAAAAATTTTAATTGTGACGTATTTCTGGGCGTGAGCTACTCTAACTGTGTGTGCCCACAGCCCCAAGCAATGGCAGCAAGGCAGGTCCACACTGCACTCAAGGTGACACAGGGGGTGAAGCTGCTTTGAACTACCCTCTGTTTATCATTGGATCACAGCCTGGTTTGGGTTTGGGTAGGAAAGGACCCTAAGGCTTGTCKTGACTCCCCTACCATTTGCAGGGACACCTYACACTMGACCAGGTTGGTCCAAGCCTGACCTGGCCTTGAACATTTCCAGGAATGAGGCAGCTGCAGGTGCTGTAGGTATTTACTGCAGGTTGCCATCCTCAGCAATGTCAGAACAGCAAATACAGGCTCTGGTCATTGTTCTGAGGCTGGAGGTGCTTCCAGCTCTGGGATAGAGAAGGAGATCCCTCATGCCTCTCCTTTGGGGTGCAGGTTCCCCTCCATGGCAGCAGCAGGCAGGCAGTGGCCGTGCAGGATGTCAGCATGCACAGTGCTGGGGTTGTGACTGTGCCTCTGGTYTGTGCTGTGTCCTCAGGCATTGCCAGATCTGAGCTCAGCCTGGCCTCACATCACTGGAGAAGAGTCACAGCCCTCGGTGGGACAGCCAGGCCAGCAGTGTTAGAGATCCTTGAGCCTACCATGACATTCAGAAACATCTCATAATCAGACCTTTATGGTTTTTTTAGACATTAAACCATCAAAGTAGCCCCAGCAGCGAGTGACAGTGCTGGTGTGGGATGGACACGTGCACCCATGTCCTGCTGCAGATGATTTCAGAGGTGCCCCACCTTTGTGCTGCTCCTTTTCTAACCATAACCTGTCCTTTGATTTGCTCTGCTTCATTCCCCYCTGCCCCATGCTTCTCTCCCATTCCCTCCCTCCCTGCCCTGTCCTGCTAAGGAGAGAGGGRTGCTGTGCCCTGCCCAGAAGGGCAGTGAAGGCAGCGAGCAGGGAAGGGAAGAGGGTGGGCAGCAGAGGGGAAGGGGCTGCATCACCTCAGGGAATCTGGAGAGCCAGGCTCATCTCCTGTGCCACTTCTYCTCTCCTTCTCTCTAATCTCATCCTTCCATGTTTCATTGCAGGGCCATTATCATCCGTAATGGGGAAATCATACCAATGTCCAGGGAGTTTACTCCAGAGACAGAGAGGCAGAGGCTGCAGTTTTTAGTAAGAAAGACCTTTCTTTTAATCTCATTTCAGCTGAGGCACCTCCTGGCCTCTCCCTAGTCTGCTGTGCTGCCTGCTGAGCTGCTGCTGTGGTGGGGTTCTGGAACTCAGGGCAGCCCCTGGCTGGGACCTGCTGTTGGTGCTTGTCCATCCCAGACTGCTCCCTGGGATGGAAGAGGAGCTGGGATGGAGGGAGCTGCTCTGGGGTCACCCTGGGGCTGGCAGAGCCCTGGTTTGCTGTGAGCTCACTCAGTGTGAGGGTCTGTGACTGTGAGCTGGCACAGCTGGCACGTGGAGATCCCAGGAGATTCCAGGAGATCCCAGGAGATCCCAGGAGATCCCAGCAGATCCCAGCAGATCCCAGGCTGGATCCAGGGGCTGCACTGATGTGTTTGCATGGAGTCAGTTCTGTTGATCAGTGCTGCTGCAGTTCTGTCCAGCAAACACGGCTGCTGTGAGCTGGAGGAGCGTGGCTCTGCTCCCTCCACCCACCCACTGTGCTCCCTGGCACTGTCGGAGGAGCTGCAGTGCTCATATGAGTTCTGCTTCTTCCCTGGCTGCTCCTGGAGTCAGAGCTGATGTGTGCCAGGGGTTTCTGTCTTTCTCCCTGAAAGCTCCCTGTCCTATYCTGGATGAACCCCACGCTGCCACCCAGGGAGACTTTTTAAGGGTATAAAGACTTCTCTGAGGGCAGAACAGGGGAGGAGTAGTTTGTGTTGGAGGTCTCGCTGGATGCAAATTCCTGGCTTGCATTGTACTTGAAAAAACACTGAGGCRTTTTTTGTTGAATCTATTTTTGAATGATGGAGAGGAGGAAAGTGCTGTGCTCAGGATCCTCTCCAGCTGGCTGCAAGGGCAGGGCACAGGCTGGGACAGGCACACACTGCTGTGCCACCCGATGGCCAGGCTGTGGGCAGGGCTGGGGGTCTCCATGCCTCTGCACCAACCCTCTGCCAGCCCCTCTTCCCAAGGGATCTCCTGTTCTCTTTTGGCTTTTTCTTTCCTCTTTGGCATTTTCCAACACTCCCCGTTCCTGGTGCCCTCCACACTGTGCTGCAGGAGGGCTTGRGGCTGCCCTGGGAAGGGCTGAGTGCTGCTGCTTGTCCCTTGTCACAGTCACAGTTGGGACACTTTCAGAAARGACCCCTCACTGTATTCCTTGGGTGAGTGCCATGCCCTGTGCTGAGCCTGGGATCCTGGCAGCTTGCAGCTGGGACTCTTTCTGGGCAAATTCCAGCTTCTCTGGAATGTGCTGGGATTGGATTGTCTGATCCCTTTTGGAGATCTTTATTTCCCAAAGCTCTCTATGCRAAAGCTTCCCCTTCTTGCTGAGTGCTGGCATGGCTGTCCCCAGCTCCAGTGTCCCCTCTGGCTTAGCACAGCTGGGTGCTTTGGAGCTGCTTTTCCAGCACCTTTTGGAGTTGCTCCAGAGCAGAAAATGTTCTCCCACCACAGAATGTCACAGCCAAGGTGCTGTGGGTGGTGGGTCCCATACCTGGGCAGGGCAGGATCTGCAGATCCCGCTCTCCCAGCCCTGGGTTGAGCTGACCCTTTTTCCTGCAGGCATTGCTGAGGCCCGAGCTGCTGGGGAAGGAGTTCACTCTCCTGGAGTTCCCCCGCAGGATCCAGCCCAAGGAGCTGGGGAAGAAGATGCTCTACAGGGACCAGAACATGAATGGCTGGTAACCCTGAACCCCTGGTGGCTCTGGTGTCCTGCTGTGGTGGCTCCACGAAGCAGGAGGCCCTGGTACATGGGCACCAAGAGGTGCTGGAAGCTTTCATGTGCTGACACCTTGTCTCTGGCTTAWTTCAACCAGGGCTTACAAAAAGATAGAAGAGGATGACCTGAAGTTTCCACTTATCTATGGGGAAGGCAAAAAGGTGAAGTGCTGTGGCAGGAGTTTGGCAGACATTGTTTCCTGCCTGCTCTTGCTGTTTTGGGGGATTTCAGCCCATTTTAGGTAGTGCTGTCATCAGTTCAATGCCACCAGTTCTTTTGATTCCACCATTCTCCAGGCTCGAATGATGGCCACAATTGGGGTCACGAGAGGCTTGGGAGACCACGACCTCAAGGTGTTCAGCTCCAACATCCACATCAAGCCTTTCCTGTCCTGCTTCCCAGAGGTGAGCCTGGCAGCCGGCTGCTCTGCACCCAGGGGTTCCTGCAATGGGTGACCAGATGCACTGGTGCCAGCACAGAGGGAGCTGCCTCTGCCTCTCTGCCTCTGCCTCTCTGCCTCTCTGCCTCTGCCTCTCTGCCTCTCACCCTCACCTCTTGCCCTGTTCCCTGCCAGGTCAGGGTTTATGATCTCACGCAGTATGAGCACTGCCCCGATGATGTTCTGGTGCTGGGCACGGACGGGCTCTGGGATGTCACCAATGACAAGGAGGTGGCTGCTGTGGTGATGGAGGTGCTGACGAGCTATGAGCCCAATGACCCGTGCAGGTGAGCTGCAGGAGGGCAGGGGATGAGCATGTCCTGCACTGTCCCACCTCCCCTTGGCCTGGCTCCTGGGAGCAGGGTTGTGGCCATGAATCCCTCTGGGCTCTGCAGTGTGCCTTTCTCCCCTGGTGAGCGGATCTGAGCTTGCATCTCCCCAAGGGACCCTTTCCTGACCCTGCAGCCTCTCCTTCCTGGCAGGATGCTGCAGAGGGGCTCTGGGCTCAGTGCTGAGTGTGCTCTGCTGTGTCCCAGGTACACCATGGTGGCCCAGGAGCTGGTGGTGCGCTCACGGGGGGTGCTGAAGGAGCGGGGCTGGCGCCTGGCCAACGACAAGCTGGGCTCTGGTGATGACATCTCTGTTTTTGTGATCCCTCTGGGTGGCCCGGGGAACTACACGTGATGCTGAGTGAGCCCTGGGCAGTGGCTCACCTTGTGTGGATGGAGGAGTGGGACACTCACGCTGCCTCAGGGCCACCTCTCCTTTGAGCACTTCTTTCCTGAGCCAACTGTAAGAAGAGTAAGAAACCTGGAGCCTCATTCTGTGCCCTATCTAGAGCATCTCCTTCTACCTGCTTGCATCCAGTCCCAGGTGGAGAAGGAGAGGCCTTGGATAGAGAGTGAGGACTGGGTTGAGGAATGTTTTTGTGCTGCTACTTTCTGGATGCTGTGAAAAGCCTGGAGACTCCTTGGCACCTGCACACGTCTATTGCCCCTTGTTCTGGCTCCAGCCCCWGTGAGAGCTGTGGGGCTGCTGGGRCACTCAAACCTGCTGCAGTCACCTCTGCCTCCTGCCCTGTGATGCTTTCCCAGTGACACTGAGGCTGCTGTTGGAGCTGGGGCTCAGATGGGATGGGACAGAATAAAACCTCACTGGCAGCTGGGCAATGCTCAGCTGGCACAAATCCAGTTGTAGCCCTAACAATGGCCATTCCAGCCTTGTGCTCCCAATTTCCAGCCCCTCACACCTTCATTCCATCACCTCTCTTGTGTCTGTCTCGTGTCTGGGAGATTGGAGCAGTGACCAAGCTCTGCTGTGYCCCCAGAGCCTGAGGAGGGATGAGCCATTGCACTGTGCTTGTGCCACAGGTTCTACCCCATCCTCTCATGCCTTGGATCACTGCAGTGCTTCTGAGCCAATTATTTATTTACTGGAGAGCTGAGCTGGAAAGCATCTAAATCCTTTCTTGGTGTGGAGAGTCTATGAATGGATGCATATTTTGGAGTGGTTCTGAGTTAGCAGCCTCACACAGAGCAACCCTATTCAGGGGAGCTTAACAGCTTAATACCCTGGATCTGCTTAGCCCAGGGCTGGGAATCCACAGGAAAAGCAGCTTGGTGTGACCAGGGCAGGGGAAGACAGCGCCTGCTTTTCCCTAAAGATCTCAAAGCTGGTGCAGAGAGGGGCTGCAGCGGTTGATCTCTGCACAGGATTTTGCATCACACACATCTCTGACCTGGAGCATCCATTCCCCAGASCTCTGCAGTGTGTTGCATCCTCCTCAGATGTGAGGGAGTGTCCCACCCCGACATTGTGGAGATGGGGAGAGCTGGGCCATGGTCCTTTGWTTGGGAAAGGGACAAGTAGTTCGTGTCTTGTCACTGGATGCAGTCAGCTCYTGTCAAGTGTCACCTCTGGTGAATGTTGTTTGTTTCCTGTAACCAGTGAGATGGAAATAACCTGGGTGCACATAATGGAAAGTGGAAATTATRCAGCGAGATTTCAACCTGTTGGCATCCATGCTGAAGGGAACAGGGAGTGGGGCTGAGAGCATGTCCTTGTGTAGTACTGTTTATTTAAATAAAGATTTTGCCACTTGCAGTCCTACTTCAAAGTATTTCTTTGCRGAGCTCCTGCAAAGGAGACTTACCTAAAAGCCAATTAGCTGTGATTAATTTATGTAGGCAGGCAAACAGGGCCTGCAAAGCCATGTGAGCTGCTGTCCCTGTGCCCTTGGCCCTGGTCAGAGCCCATGGAGGTCTGTGCAGTGCCCATGGGCAGTGTTGGTGTGCTCTCCCTGGGTCGGGCTGGGAGGGGGCAGTGATGGCCAGGCTGCTGGGAACAGGAGCATTCCACACGGGATGAAGGGAGAAAAGGCTGATTGATGGTTTTCCTGTCTGTGGGGTAGGGAGTGGGGCCGGTTGTGGCTGCCAGGAATGTGACATCTGTCTCTGGGTGCTCAGACACTTGAGCAGCAGCCACCTCTGCCTGCTGGAACCCTGTGCTGTCCCATGTCCCTCTGAGGGCCATCTGTACCATCCTGATGCTCACTCACACTTGTTTGCAGACCCTGTTCCCCTGACACGTTCCTTTTCGTGCTGGTGGCTGGGAACCAGCTCTGCCTTTCCAGGTCACTGCCTTGTTGCTGCACAAGGCAAGGAGGCAGAGGCTGCMTTTAAAGCTTCCTCTGTGCTCCCCTTTTTCACTAAGGAAACATTTCCTTTGGAACCAACTTCTGGCCTGAGGCTTGAKAAATTAAGAAAAATTGTCTACAAGYCCTTAAAATAGCAGCAGTTTATGAGCTTGGGTCTGGGCCAGGCCCTGGGGCTGCTCTCCTTGGCTGAGGGACAGAACTCTGTGCTGCCGCTGGATGGCACGGGGCAGGATCCTTCAGTGCACGATGGGCACGGGGAGCCGGACCCCAAACGTGTCCCTGGGGTCACCTTAGCGCGGGCACAGCGTGTCACAGCTGCCCTGTGCCAGTGTCCCTGGGGTCACCTTAGTGCGGGCACAGCGTGTCACAGC